AGAAGACCCCCCTGAAGAAAAAGTATGTCCGACATAATAGAAGACCCTCTTTAATTAATTAATTTTTTGCTAATTACGAACTTTAATTAGCGTTTTTTCATCAAAATATGCCTGATTCTTAGCATTTTAAGCTGTAAATATCAAGGGAATGTGTTCACAATTATAATGCCACCCTTAAACCCTGAAAATCCTGATGGAAATCCTGAAAATCACCTTAGTTTTCTGGAAGACCTTTTTAATTAGATATTAGAAAAAAATGCGGTTCTTAATACAAGACCCCCCTAGAAAATTTTTACGCTGCAACATAATAGAAGACCAGGGGTCTTTTATTGTGGGGGGGGGGTGGTTAGTCAGAAATGTCCGCAGGATCCATCTAGTCTAGTCTGAAATGTCTTGCATACCCGTCTGGTCTAGTCAGCTTAATGAGGAATGTCTTACATACACGTCTGTACTAGTCTGAAATGTCCTTGAGCCCTGTCATGTCTAGTCTGTGTTGTCTGTTGACCCAATCCAGACTAGTCAGAATATTAAAAAAGCAGGTTACACGGCCAAGTGAGCAAAAAAATAGGGAGGACGGGCGACATGACTAGTCCAAGAAGTCTGCTATACCCGTCAAGTCTAGTCTAATACGTCTTCCATATCTATTGTGACTAGTCCGTTTGTCCTTTCAGTCGTCTAGAATGGTCCAAGATATTCCAGAGCATCATTGTGACTAGTCCGTATGTCCTTTTACCCGTCTAGACTGGTCTGTTTATTCATTTACCCCCACCTGGACTAGTCCATAGCAGGGGAAAATATTGTAAAAAAGGGAGAAGAAAGTTAGATTCGAACATTAGAGACACTTATAATACTATTAGAAATCAGACTGGCGTCTTGATGACAGCCCATAATACAGTAAGCCTTATGTCTATGTATATATTCTAAAATGCAAATGGGTGTCTTCCATATACCATGTGTGCAGAAATCACTTGATGGAAACTGATTCTCACTACCCGAAAATGCCTTTAATGGTAGCTAGAAGGACTGTTCCTAGGCTAATATAAACTGTTGTATGTTCATAAAGATTATTCTATTTTTTAAGTACACCGTCAGTTCGAATTCTGAATTATCTAAATAAATATTAGAAGGAAAAAAATTGTTGAATAAAATGTCCTGCTGAATTGCCAAATTAATGTCTAAAACAAGACAAAAGCATCAGATAAAATAACCACAGTTTCAATTTATTTTATTCAATTTCATCTGAATAATTTTGGAGTTTGTAAAAAAATATTTTTTATTCATATGAAAAATTGAATAAAACTTAGAAAAAATTCGTATTTTAAAGTATCTTAGAATGACTAGAAATACTGATAAATTGATCTCTCGATCAAATGGCTCAATGGTCTGAACGATGGGTAAGTAATAGTTGGTACGTATGTTCGAATCTAGTTGTAGTCATAAAATATTTCAGTTTAGACTAGTCAGGATCTCGTCATCAGATAAGACCACAACTCGTCATGTAAAGCGTCATGGACGCTCTTACTTTTATTTAGAATCATACTTTTGACGGGCGTCAGGATGGTACAGCATGTCTAGAATTTTTTTCGAAAAAGACTACGCATGATAAATAGAATGACTCCAGTCACTTTCATAGTCCGGACGGGCACTATGGACTATACGAGATTTCAGACTAGTCCTGTACTAAGACATTTCGAGAAAAAGACTAGACTGGACGGCCGACTTGTCTAGTAAAAAGACTAGTCTTTTTTCTAGTCGTTTGGTAACCTGGGATGAAAGGTACGTGAAAAATAGGACTACGACAGCTCCAGCTCACGAACCCGGTTCAAACGAACCGATGAGCTGTTCGCAAAAGTTCAGTTCAGTTCAAAAGAACTGTCCGGTTCAGTTCGAGAGAGCTGTTTGAACAGTTCACCAGTTCGGAGCTGTTTCCGAACTGTTATAGTCCTAGTGAAGAAGATATACTTGGTATATGTACCACTGTATATAAATATTCACAAAACGATGGTGTAACACAAGTAAGTATCATCAACAGGGAAAATCGGTTGATTCAATGACTAGAAGTTGTATGCGAAATAGATTAATCTGAAATTTTCCTATTTAACAGACATTTGGTACCAGCATTTCTCAATACAATTTATTCACATGATCCATCTGCATCATTATTGAATTTTAATGCCGATACGTTGACATTTACTAATCCATCATCAGTTTACTATCTTGATAACCCATCAACAAGTAATCGATTTTGTTGATGTTCCTGCGAGAATTCTTAAAACATACAAATCTCGGCAAAATAATATTAAATATGCAGATAATGTATGTGTTCTAGACAAATCCATTGAATTATTTTTTCTTTTTAGAAAATAAAACAATGAAAACAAGCTATTTCAGGATTTTTATTAAACACATCCGGTGCTAAAAATGACACGAAAACAGTTGTACTAGATGCTTATGCTCAATTAGGTTTATATGGTGGTCAAGTAATGTCGTTGCCTATTGATGATGCACTTAATACTATTCGTTATATATCGAGTATTTGCCTTGATGATGAAGAAATATGTGATGTACAACAAACGCTACAACTTAATTTGTTATGGTAACTCGAAAATAAAGCCAATAAAAATGCTGTACGCATATGGACATTTCAAGCATTATATTCTTCGTTTATTTACTATACTGAAAATGCTTATCATCTATATTATGTAAGTTTAGAAAGTCAAGTTCAGAAAATTGTTGATGAACCATTCAATCAGGTAAAATGATTATATCCCCTGGTCGAGATATTAACTATAGAGTATATAGATTGAGTGGTACACACAAAATGAAAGCTCATTACTGTTAAGCACTATGAAAAAATATATTTATTCTATACGATTGTTTCAATGGGTCAATGGTTTTATGTGGTCAGCTCTTTAATATTCATCACTTAATCCTTTATGTGTTCTTGCTACACGATTTCGTGTAAGCCATAACAATAGAAAACAATTTTTAGAACAAACCACATTATCTTCGCGGCAAATTCGACTTGAAATACCACTTCGTAAAAATGATCAAATCATCGTTGATGTTTCTGTTATATTCGAAAATGATCGAGTTGTACCATCGTTTCTAAGTACTAAATTAGCATTTGGTTGTGTTCGCCATGAAACACTTCGTTTATCATGGGTTGATGTTGCGATAATCAGTGAAAATCTTGATTAGAATTTTGCTGACTATTTCTTACGATTAGATCCATTGAATAAGAATCTTAATGATGATGAAAAAAGTCGACTTAAAAGTTATTTGCCATCCAGTTTCAAACAACATTAAGAGCTGCTAATGGTTTGGCATTATATAAATCAGAAAAAGTTGCTGCACTTGTTGATTTAGCAACGGATTTAAGAAATATTCAAAATTAAACAGGGCTAGGAGTATATTCAATGACAAGTCGATCAGCGTAAGTTTGAAATATATATCTTTTTTTGTAAACATGAAAACAGTTCTCTTTTTGTTTAGATTAAGTTTTTTCTTAGCAGTTCAACGTGAAGTATCATCACTATTGGCCACTGTTGATGAAACAGTTGAAATCGATATTCTATCCTATGTTCCATTTGAATATAAAACGGAAGCCAATAATGAAGGACGTGCACGTGAATTTAGTCTTCTTGAGTCGAATTCAAAGCCTTTTTCAATCGAGTAAATAATTCTATTTCTGTCGAGCTTCCAATATGCAACACGTACATCAGACGGTTTTGAACTTGTTCCAAATAAAAAACATCCAGTGCCTGCTATCGTACATTAGGCGTACGAGTATGATTAGAGCTTAATCCCTTCCGTTCAATTCAATTTGACAAACGAAATTCATATCGAATAGCTGTAAGTGTAACTATTCAAATGAACATCCTTTATCCATAAATTAATCTTTCACCTGTAGGTAACTGTCAACAGAGACCCATCAATCAAAAACTGACGCCTTGGTTGGCGTTTTAATGCTCAAGAAGCACCACAATATGAACTCATCATTGAAAAAGTTGGCACAAATCAATCCTATCCTGGTATATTGAAATAGACTCGTACATACGATTAAACGCCGTCTTTCTGTCTTTCTAGGTTTGTGTGTCTGCTAAAAAAATGGCAATAAGTTCGATATTAAAGTTTTAACTGGCACGAAATCGTTCAATGCTAAAGGTAAAACAAAACAGAAAAAGAATATTTTTTCATATTCTATTATACATAATAGGTACACAAACGAGTGAGACATTTAGTGGTACAGTATATTCAAGTGACAACAACGAAGTAATGACAACATCTGGAGCATTGGCGATTAATAACGATGGTTTTAAATTGGAAAGTAAACCTTTTGATATTGCAAGCAAAAAAGAAGTCGTCACATTAACAACTGATATTCTACCAAATCGTGGGCAAGGTCTTACAGCTAATTTTGGTTTAACAATATCCGATAAAGCTTAATCGTTTTTCATGAAAATCAGATATTCTATTTGTAATATCGTTTCATTAGTTCGTGGTGGTTTATATAAACCGAATTCAAAAAACAATCATATCATGGAAAATTATTGTTCGAACGTGCTGACATCATACACGTATTGAATTACAACGCATATTTAAATTAGACCAAGGTTCATCAGCTGCCGGATACGAATTTTTTTATGAACGTAAAACAAATAACGAAGCAACTCAAATCAATTGTAGTCTAATATTGCATCCTATGTTTCATTACGAACACCAGCTAGTGATGCATCCATGAAGCTATTCAATCTCAAAACAGACTTCACTCGTACCATTAATTTATCGAATGCAACACTACAAAGTTCATTTGATTGTTTACTTACAACACGTAATCCACCGGTACATGAATTTTCTTCTTGATCACTGATACCGAAAGAGTTTGGAATCATCGAAATAAGGTTTGATTTCATAGTTGTCTTTTTCCAATACTTTAAAAGATATCATTGTCTCTCTCATTTTGTTTTTGCCTAGGACCTGCAATGCTACCACCAACTCTTGACATCAACAATAAGATTCATTTTGTTGTCGATACAGATAAATTATTTCCTGATATCCCAGGTCAATTTGCATGTGATGTATTATCTGATCTTGATTTTCAATTACTCAATGAAGTCTGGGTGTGGGTGTGGGTGTGTTTCTATTCATCAGCAAAAACCGACACCCGCACCAATCCCTGCCCACTGCTACACTCGCACCCACGCCCACACTCCACACCCTGATCTGGCTAAAGACGAGTTTTTATAGGATTGTGGTCCGCCAGTCGATTTATTCGAAATCAGTTAACACCTATACAAATCATTAAGAACAGAAAACATCCGTTTGCAAGCGCGCATATTAAAAGCGATAAAGAGATGTGTGTGGCAAATCGAAGTTGTTTGCCAGTGAGTTTTCTGTCGCACTTTGTCGTTGATAATAATTATGGAAACATCTGAAAAGTGGGGCAATTATAATTTTGAAAATGAGGAACATCAAACCGAAAACCTCCATGCATAGAATGGTGAATAGAATGTTCGTGAAGATAAGTTCGGCCTCATCGACGATCGGTTGTTGCGTGTTTAATACGTAATATGGTGTCTCAATTATGACGAGAGAAAGTATTGTATTCGAACTTTTGGCATATATATACTCATTTTCATTAACAAAGATATCATTGATATCAGTCGAAACGTAAGGCATCCAAATACCACTCAATTGTGTCTGGCCGTCTTCAGTAAGTGGATAAGTGCGATTAATCATTTTAGTGAGCTGAAATGTGAACGATGGCTGTTGTGTGAGAAGAAGACCAGAAGCTGAAAATGCCTGTGCAAATGTGATATCGACAAGCGTGTAACTAGCCTGGAGAATGTCATTCTCCTGTTGAGTACCCGATCCTTCAAGGGCTAGACGAATACCACCGATAGTATTGATACCAGCGAGCAGAAACTGTAAATTCACACCATGTGATGGTAAAATAGCTGCAAGTGATAAGCTGCCATCGCTGCTATTACAGGACGAAATTGGCAGAGGTAGATTTATGTCTTTGATTTGTGTTAGGGTCACATCCGTGCATGAAAAAAATGTATTGACAAAGTCAACATGCAGTGTAAATAGCTGAGCGTTGAGAAGTTCAAATATGGGTAATTCATCGGCTTTTGGAGAAACCATCAGAGACATCAAGCGGGTACTGAATTGAGCGTTCGATAAGGTTAGATCACAAGCAAATGTAGCATTACCACTGATTTTTTCGATGGGATAACGATAAAAGTAGCCATTACTGAACACATAGGCGAATATAACTAGGATAAGAATAGCAAAACTAGCTATACCACCTATCCACAAATCGCCTTCACCAATAAGATCGAAGTGCTTGAAAAATTGTTTGAGTCCCCTTCGTGTTTTCTTTCCTAGAGGATGAGTGGCGCAGTATTTGAGAATGGTCATAACAAGTGCGATGAGTATACCTAATAACATACTGATCAATACCCAAAATAAGGGTGATACGAGCAGACAACGATTGGATGAAGAGAAACTAATAGTAAACATATTTTCCATTAGAATATTCTCGAATTGAACCGACTGGGGTGGCAAAGGATAGGCTGCTGCTTGATTGGTACTTGTAAGTAAAGAAGACGCGCTGACATTTCCGAAGGCTGCTCCCAGCGGACAAAAAGCATTACTGGCACATAGCTCACAGGATACTTGACCAGTTAAGCCAAATGTACTGTAATTCTCAGGGCAAAGCGAGCACGGCTGGATATTAAAAGCGGAGCTGAAAGTACCAGGCATGCATGGTAAATTTGATGAAACTAAGTTAGTGCTAGTGTCTGAAGTGTCACCAAGAGGTGTTGGGAGAATGATGTAATAATTGCCTTGTGAATCTAACAGTATTATCACACCGCTTTGAGTACCAACAAGTGAGATTAAAATAGGACCGATTCCAGGCGCCAATGTTTGCTGAGTGTTCGGTATAATAGACACGATGGTGAAGTTATGATTGGTGTTCATATTATAGGTAAAAATTTGTGATGCTGACCAAACGTAACTGAGAGAATATGTATTAACTAGGACTAGAGAAGTATTCTCATCGAGCCAGTCGACTGTTTTACCCATTCCTATTCCCTTTCCGTTTGAGAGCGTCTGCGGTGGTAACAGAAACGTTGTACTTGTTTGATTGATATTAAGCAACACAATAGTGTTTGTTATTTGAATACCGAGCAGGACTTGACTTTCGGCGTCGTTGATGCTCACTGACATATCGTATTTCGCTGAGTAGGTGTCTGCGTTCCAGTTTGTAAGACTCGCTTGCCATGAGGTACTAGTTGGTGGGGTGTAAATCCAGGTCTCGAGTACAGTCAAATTTAAACCAGATATTTTTAGTAAATAGGCACATGGTGTGTACTTGCTGCTCGAATCACCTACATAACCAAGTACCACGATCAATAGATTTTCACTGACATCGGCAGCATGTGGAAGGAAAGAGCTGTCAGGCCAGGTCAAATTACCGAGCTGAATGGAGACATTGTCCGTTTGGAGATTGTACAAGAGAAGAAAACCCTGCGTGAATGCGTAGGCAAACTTGCCCATCGGTCTAAAGACGAATATGGAAAACAGATACAATCAGTAGCTACCAAGTTATTCGATACGGATTTTACTTCACACTAATACTTTTTACTCACGTCAAAATAGATTTTTTTTCCATTCATCTCAAACTGAATTATATCAGATATTCTTACGAAATTTTAACTTAACTGTGCTTTTGCGTGAACTTTTCATCGGATACTAGACTCTTATTATTCTGTCAATTATCATTGAAACAGTGATTATTGTGATTGAAAGATCATTCTATCACCTGTCTAGAATCTCTTCGCCTTCTGGACTACGTCAGAGTAACTTCAACTAAAGAAGAATCTGGATACATACTAAAAGGTTGCAAACAATGACTAGTATGCATGTCATGAACTTCAGCTTTTGTGAGACACGATTAGAAATGAGTATTGAAGTAAATAGCTAAAAATTTTGCGTTGCCTCTCCCTTGCATACCAGCGAACACTACGATCAGCGTAGTTATATTTCTCGGTCATAATTAAAATGGCTTCATTGTGTTTCACATTTTAATCTAGCAGGGATTACGCTAAAAGCTTTTTCCCTTGGAAAGGTTATATTAAAAATTACTTTTCACTTCATTTCGTATTCTAATTAATGGAAATGAAGAGAGAGAGCCTCAAACTCTTACGACTAAGAATGACTCATTCTATTTCGAAAAATAAATATTACATAAAAAAATGGTGTTTTTGTGTTGAAGCAGACTACAACGTAAAGGACTTCAATATAACGCACACCTGAAAATTGATATTATCCGAAGTAAATTTACTTGGATGATACAAATTAATGTGGGACCGCCGAACAGCAATCAAGAGTAAAAAAGGACCGTCGAATAATATGGTATATTTTTTGATAAAATTTATTATCCTTTGTCTGTCATTGTCTACGATACGCAATGTATTTTTCCAGCGTGCCGATTTGGTTGTATGGCGATGCTTCATAAGATTATCTAATCGCCGAGAACAACGAGTTTCATGAGACTTCTGGGTTCGCAATCTATTGAGAATCCGCAACCGGATTAGTACATCGATATGTCGATGGAGATTCACTTTGCTCGCTATATAGTTCAACGCTCATACACAATCCTGTTTCACAAAAGTCTGTTACACATTTAGAGAGAAGGCTTCGTTGAACTCGATCACAGTAAGCAGCAAACCTTAGCATTTTAAATTTTTTTCAATCTTATACCATTCAGAAATAACTGCTACTATCAAGAAAGAAGCGAGTACTTACTCGACAGCAACAACGTAGAAATTGATATTGTTGTCTACATCGCTTTCTCCGTACACGAACTGATTGAAATTGTGTATCCTATAGTTATCTACGCTCCATCCATCACATGGAAAGGTATTTTTCTGCGAAGTCTTCGTTGTAGCTACATATGCAGCTCCACTGATCCCTGTATAATCCAATAAACCAATGAATGGCACATTTGTTTTTGTGTTCACACCGATGAAGACGAATCGAATGGTACTGTTGGCCTGCATTTGTGCAGCGAGTGCTACCGCATAGACATACTGATTTGAACTGCTGTAACCAAGTGTGCAAGTAAGTGAGTAGTTGAACGGAGCGAGTCGAAGCAAAAACGAGTATTGAGAAGGAAGCGATTCGACGAGAAGTATGTCATTAGCGGCAAGTTTGAGACCATACGCATCAAAAGAGGATTGATCAGGGGAAAAAGAAGTAACAATCGCAGTAACCAAAACAAGATAGAGAGCAAGATGTTTGAACAAGGAGAGCATGTTTGATTTATGTTTCACGATTGATTTTCATCAACATCACCTCAATAGTGAAAAGACTGTTAGCGCAATCCCTTCGGGATTAAAAATATGAAACACGATATAGCCAATGCTCGTAATAACATGAAATTGGCCTATTCTATGAATTTTTTATTGATTTTGTAAGAAAGTTTCTTTGTGACTGCGTATGATGATTTGTGCTAGACTCGAAGATGGTCTGTAACGGACTGTGCTACGTCTGAACCCTATCTATCAGTCTATGGTAGTTTCTGATGGCTATCTGTCGTCGCCTGTGATGACCTCTCAAGACCTTCTGTCACACCTTCTGATGGCCTTTAGAAGCCGCCTATTACAGTCCGTGATGGTTTTCAGAAGCTGTCTTTCACGGTCTGTGGGGGTTTTGGAGACCGTCTGTCACGGCCTGGGGGGGGGGGGGGGTGGGGCCAAAATTTAAACCAANAAGCCGTCTTTCACGGTCTGGGGAGGGGGGGGGCTTGGCCCAAAATTTCTACCCATATACACGTCAGCACTCCTTTCAGATCATGTTGTACAAAAAAGTACATTTAATGCTGACAAAACCATGCTTTCTCTACTCTCAGCTTTGTTTGATTTTAACTGATGGAGTAAAAGCAAAGTGCAGTAATGTGTATGCCAAGGATAAATAAATTGGTTGCTATTTCCTGTCACGTCTTCTGATGTGTCTCAATTTATTGTTAAAAATCAATTCCAGCATACTTTTCAGAACACGCAATTCATGCTACACAAAAGTTTTTAGAAGAGTAGGTTTTGAATTGACTTTTAATAATTATAATGAAATGGCATGAAGTATCGTCTTCCGATTTCAATGATTTTTTGCCTATAGATACTACAAAATGTTCTAATAAAGGCCGTAAAAGGATTTTATTTTCTATTCAGATTTGTCTAAGCCATCTAATTTTTAATGCCGCTTTTGTAGAGAAATCATAGCTGCGCCGATACAGATACAAAATGTACAGGCATGAAAACATGAGATCCTACTCAGATAGACACAGAAACGATGAAGGGACTATGATCTGTAAATAATTCTATTCTCTTCATTTTGATCATTTTATTCATTATGCATAAATTATAATTGAGTCAAAATTGATTCATTCATTGTTTGGTAATGTTTCGACAGATTTCTTTTCTCCTTCATTAACTCGCTTTTACTTCTAATTGGGTAAAAGAAGATGCAAACACGTAGTTGAATCATTCAGTATTATCGTCTTATCAGTCCGTTCCACTATTAGGAAAAAATAAAAATAGACAGATGTTTGTATAATAAAATCTAAACTGAATCTTAATAGAACAGTAAACAAACTAACTGTTAAAGCAGCGAAGAATCCTCCGAGACATTGGCGAAACATTAATAAAGAAATATCTATTTAATTATTTATAAGCTCGACTGTCCTACTTGAAATAGCTGTCGGATGAAATTAACACTTGAATATATTTAAAATACTGTTTTTGAATTTAGGATTGGTGAAAAAAACTGGCAAAGTACCAAATATCTAACGAGTTTCTAACATTCAGAAAACTACAACCCGAATTGCATTCGTTGCGAATTGGTTCTATTGATTTTCAGCACTCAATTCATTTTGATTTAGATCGGTCGCAGAGAATCGAAATTCAACGACGGAATTAATTTGAAGTAATAACTGATAATTCTGCACGAGTATCACTCCGTTTTTATCTAGAGCTGGGAAGTTTTCTTTAAACCTCGTTCATCTTTCGGTAAGTAAAATGTTTTTGCCTACTTCATAAAAAAACTCAACTGTCTCAAATAACTCACTCAACAGTTATACTTGTAGTGAGCCCTCTGTATCGTACATATTATGTTTAAAGTAACGAGTTGACTACGAAAATTATTTTTGAACAAAAAACTCGTCTTTATTAATAATTTAATGGATGCTCTGTTCTCCGTTTAGAATGGTTTTCAGTGGAAAAAAATATTTTTAACTAATTTGTGTCTTTACTCTTACATAGAAGAAGAATGTGTATTTGATATAATGAATTGCGCATTAATTCTTACGGTAGGAGAAAAATTCAGGGACTAATAAACTTGACAACTACTGTGTAAACGAGATAGAACACAAATAAATTCAGAACCAATAAAGCACAAGCAAATAGTAGGACGGGCGAGGAAAAAATAATCTTTGTTTTCTTTTTCCGGATGCTAGACGAAAGGAAACAATAAAGTGAAAGAAAACTTGTTGGACATGTAGACGGATAATGAACTAGGTTTCAATCTGAAAAAAAAACATGACATGTGAAACGGCTAATTATTAAAACTTCGAATGAACCGACTAAATTATAGCTTGTATAATTATAAACCATACGAAACATGACTAACGTGTTTCTCTTCGTTGATTATGTGCATCACTCATGCATACACCAGTTTTTTTTAAAAGAAACAAGTAGAAAAGAATATAGTAATATTAATGATAGTTTTCTCTTACTATTTAGTTTTTGAAGATTAATAAGATTCGTTCACTCAATACAACAATTCAGAAAATACGATCAAACTAGAATTGACTTTCTTGTATGCGCAGTGAAAGAATTTGCTGTGTGACGAAATGATATTGTAATGATCGTCGAACAAGTCTATATAGTCTCACCTGGCAACAGTCGGATTGTTAGAGATATTCAATATGATGTGTATTCCAAGTCTAACATTGACCCATAGAACACTTCGTGATAATAACATAGCATTAAATTAGAGAAACTGTTGTTTTTCGTTCTTATCAAATCTTAGCACTGAATAATACGTCTGGAAACTAAATTTCTACGTTAACTTTGACTTATGAACAGTAGAAAACACTGTCTTCATTGAAAGCCCCTGGACGGTAATAATAAGTGGTATGCCTAATCTTTAGTTTTCATTAGTATCAAGTATGAGTCTGATCGGCAGCCATCTGTTGCTAATAAGTGTAAAATGGTAAAATTTACTGTTTACTAGAAAGTTGGATAGATGTTGCAATGGTGAACTGACATTACAACAGTAAAAACAAATTTAAAAAAAATGATGAAAACGGCCATGAAAAATATTAAAAGATGACTTTTGTGAAAGGCATTAAAATGATTACTTTGAATTGAATGAGAATGCTTTAAATATAACTTTTTAATGTTTGACACAAAAGTAGTTTTACGTGATTGTTTCTTTCTGCCATCTAATTCCATGCTGCGCGCCTAGTTCGGTATACCTTTTCAAAATATTTGCTGTCATTTTCAATACCGTGTCTACTAAAATTATACTAGAGTTTATAAGTTACTATAAACAAATCAGATCAAAAAATTAAAATTTTGGGAACTTCCAAAGGGAACAAATACTCTGTTCAATCATTTTGATGATAATAAATTTTAGTCATCAATTAGAGTGAACTGCATATTTTAGTAAGGTGCGCGTAATTCAAAATTACTTTTTCGATTCGAGAAAATCTTCATGGAGAAAACTGCAAAAAACTGAGAGGGTGTAAAAATCAGCAAAAAAGTTCTTTATGGGAAACAACATTTATTTTTCTCCTGAGGTCTTCTGTTCCACTTTTAATTCTCACCAATTTGATTCTCCAATTCCTCGTAGAAAAATGACTCTAGATATGTTATTTAGAGCTTTATCGGATGTTACATGTTCAATCTGAAAAAGCGAGCTTTCAATATGACTCTGCTTTGTGTCAGTTCATCTCGCAAATCTATCTAGTTTTTTTTTTACTGAGAGATAGAGCTTTCATTTATACATCATTCGAAGCGCTATTCGACGAGCTACAAAAATATGGCTCGATTTTTTTTATATCATTTTCCTATGTTGAGAAAAGGTGTCAACAATGGTAGCATGAGGAAAATCGGTCTAGTGATTTTTCAATAAAGAAAAGCATTTCTCATTCAAAACTCGTAGAAATACGATTGATTAGATAAAAAGCGACTTAGAATTCCGTGGAAATGGTTTCAGTGCTTCTGGAATGTAGTGAGTCGACTTGTAAAACTTCATCGAGAAAAATTACTAAGGAAAAATACGAATTTTCAGACTTGCATTTTACAATATCCGAAATGAATTTTTGCCTGCCCAGGTCAATCAAAACGGCCGCTTTAAGCCGAATTAAGCCGTTTTAACAGGGGCAGTATTACGGCCATACACGGACACCGTATATCAGCCGTAAAACCTCGTAAAGCCGGCGTAATATTATCGTATTCTATAGAACATACGGCCGTATTACTGCCCCTGTTATACGAGGAAAATACGGCACGTAAAACAGGCCGTATTTATATCTTATACGACCGTTTTCGAGAGTTGATACTTGCATATCTAGGGGGATCATGTCGACATAAAAAGTATTCAAGATTTCTCTGAATTGAAGATTTTTCGTGAAGATCCGATTCGAGCGTCGCATCGCATTCGTATTCGAGTGAAATTTGAATACCATCTAGTTTCCTTACTTTTCCAATGACCATATTCGGTCTAAAACTCGATTTATTTTACTTCAAATGAAAAGACGATCTAAATCAATATCTACATATATGTGTATGTTCATATAAATTCAAATAAAGACTTAATAGCTTGAAGTTTGATTTTATTTTGCTACTATAAACGAATGGATTCAATCATAAAACGAAAATAATATTAAGGAGATTGTGCCAATCTTCGTTGTCTCCAAATATAATAATTCATGGCTTCGTTTGATTCGATGGAGTTTCATTTAGATCAGAATCGAATGAATCCGTTTCGTGTTATCATATATTCATCATATGTATAACAAAAGAAGAAGAGAAGAAGAAGAAGAAGAAATAAAATACACACAAGAACAGAGAACTAAGTAAATAAATCACTTGTCTGTAAAAGAAGAAAAAACAAAAGTCGTGCAAGACTGTTCAGTTAGAAAAAGAAAAAACAGAGTAAATAAATAACAGCTCTTATTTCTCGAAACACATTTTTATAATATAAATCTTCGACTAGTGTTTTAGAGAACAGTAAGAGTTCGAGCAAGGAGACAAAGAAAAGGTCAATCGTGAATATCAATATCGAGCAAAAGTATGACATGTTTTTATTATGAACAAATTTGAAAAAGGCAAAATTTCAATTAGTTTTTGCATGTCCGAGTACGGAACGCATTGCAGATTGTAAACATGTTGAATAGGCTGGTTGGAACGCCTTTAAAAAAAGACAACCACACAAAATTCATTATTTTCAATTAATTTTCTCTCATTCAACTTACATTATTCCAAATAACATCTGCAAAATAATCTATATATTGACCGATATCGGCATATTCTCCTGAATATTTTGTATATAACCATACGAATAATAGAAAAAAACAGACCCAAAACGCAAACATAAATATGAAATTAATGCCACCAAGCCAAATTGTGTCGAGTATACCCGCTACGAAATAACATAAAATCATCGACGATATAAATGTTGTCGGTGTACGACTAAATGCGAAAACGTTTTTCGAGTCATTATGTTTTTTATAGTTTGCTAAAACGATAGAATAAAAATTTTAGAAAAATAATTCTTTTTTTAAATTTCTTTTTCCTCTATTACAATAAAGTTCGATAATTTCATCTTCTAAATTTTTTTGATAGGTCATCGACACTTCTTCGCCACCCATTTTGCGTACGCAACGGAATTTTTCTATTGCTTGTCGATCAGCTTCTTTGTGAAGTGCTTCTAACTGATTCGGATGAATATATGGTCGGTCACCACCGCAATGCTGAAATAAAATATGAAAAGATTCCGTTTGGTGTTTTATGCGGAGAATTTTTCATTTTACCTGTTCCATCGCACGAATATAAAATTCTTTTGATGCTGATTTAGCAGCTAAATTATTAGCTTCAGCAGTTGCCTATAATATTAGAGAAGAAGAAAAAACTTTTTAATGCAATGTTACGTTTAAAACAAGATAATAATCGCCTTTCTCTAATTAGTAACTCAATTTTAAGTAGGAAATCCCTACTACCGATATATATATATATGTTATATTTTGTAACAGAATAATCATAAGTAGATAACCTTATTAATATTATAATTATTATCGAACATCGACGAAAACGATGATTTCCATTCTGTATGAGCTATACATTTTTTTATAGCGTTATAAACAATATTCAAACTAATCGTTGATTCTTTAGGGCAACATGTTATATAACCACAATAAATCGGTGAATAACAATACATTTTAAAAGACGAAAATAAAAATATGATTATCGATTTTAATATTATCCCGCATATTTTTTTGTTTTCTTTATAATAGATAGTTAAAAAAAAATATATATATATATATATACATACTTCAAGCATAGCTTTCGGTGTTGGTAATTCTCCTGAGGCAAATACAGCACAGTATGACTAAAAAGAAAGAAAAATAAATTTATAAATTAAGATTTCATATTAAAACAAACGAACGCAATTATTTAGGTTTTCTATTTCTATCTTGTGCTAGTCGGAAAAGTATATTCGTTCATCTGACTCGCTGATTATCTAGTCATGATATCTTCCATATGGTTCTTGTTTTATCATAAATTGGACCCATGCTTACATGAACACAGCTTAAAGAAATGCTTCGTTCGATTAGACAACAATTTTCAGCTTGAACATGTTTTCACAATTACCAGACTGAACAAATAAGAGATTAGATAAGTCTCCTTACAAGTCAGTCAGATCAGAGCGATGGAATAAGTTTCTACATTCTAATACCATAAAATATTTAGCTTTCAAATAGAAATGAATATTTCAGGTAGAAACATGGGCCCTCTCATTAGAATATATAAAGGCCATAGCTGTCACGTCAAAGCAAATTGTAGATAGGTACTATTCGAACCGAACAATTAGCCTATTATCGCTGTATGAATTGTATGACTCATTCAGTATTTTTCACTTTGTCCAAATATGAGACTAGTTCTAGTAGAAAAAGAGCGTTAGCGCAATTCCTACAGGATTATAATGTGAAACATGATATAGCTGCTGCCAATCACAAGAATATTATTTTATTCTATATACTTCTTACTATTTAATCCTTCAGAACTGTCATATGAAAAGAATTTGGCTCATTAGAATTCAACGTTCTTTTTAGATCGTATTTTTAAAAATCGGTAGGTACTCGCATGCAGGAATCCTATGATTGGATTTCATTGGAATTAGAAAAATCCGTTCATTAGATCTCTGCTGACAAGTTCATACTATTTTTCTGACCGACGAACTGTGTGTTAAAGCTGAAACTCTCATTTTTGTTTTCTTCTGCAATAAAATAGTTGTGATCGAAACATAATTACTTTAAAGTATTCAAATAGATCAGCCGACGTAATCATTTCTCCATTAATTTCTTTTAGGAAATTTTCGTTTTCCATATTGAAAAGTTCCGGTACAAGTGTTAATAATTGTCTTTTAAAATCTTGTTCAATATCTAAACAACATACAAGCTAAATAATGAAACCAAAAGCCGATGATTTAGTTTTACCTAATAATCGACCATCGAAATCTCGTCGATTTGTAACTTTGAGACCAGGATGTGGCATAAGAAAACAATTAACTTTACGAAAACATTGTTTCAATCGTGAACGAACTAATGCAAGATCATGATGTTGATTTTCTCGAATCTAAATGTGAATTAAATTTACAATAAATTTCCTTTTTTTTTTCAAATTTCCTTTTACTCTTAAACGATCGGATAGAACTTCTTCGCCACCATCAAAACCATACGGTGTTTCATATTCAAATTGCCAATCACGTACAAGAAATGTTAATTGCTAGAGAAACAAAAACAGAAGCTTTATTTTTTCGTTCTGTCTAAACAAACCTGAAACGGTGAAGTATGATAGGCATCAATAGCTAAAACACCATATTCAGCAAAAAATGATAGATGCTGTAAATTATCTTCTTGTAAATTATGCATTATGTTATACACAGTGACACTACTAACAAGTAATGTCAATGCAAATATAAATGCATTTTCGAATACAGTTGAATTCGAATCAAATGTTCCTTGAGTATCCATAAGAAAGACTGCGATCTAAATTATTATTGAATTGTTTAGTTATTTAAACAAAAGAATTCATTAGATTTTACTTCTTCTCCATTGGGCAATGATAAAAGAAACGGTTCACTCCACATAATCATTCCTGTTGTGTGTCGCGTAGCACCGCCACGCCAATCAAAACCTTTCAAAGGTTCATCTTCTCTTCCAATCCAATCTGTGTGATCCTACAAAAAAAAATAATAACAGGTGTTCGTTTTCACAAGATTCTTTTAAAACTCGATAACTAACTTTTGCTCGTAAATAACGAAGAAAAAAATCCAACATAAATGATTTTCCTTTACGAAAATCTCCTGCAATTGATACAAGTGAAATCTAAGATAAACACGAAATTTCAATGTTACTGATTGCTAAAAGGTTTTCTTTTACTTTTTTTCCTAATGCTCGTTTGTGGAATAAAATTTGTTTTAATTTCTTTTCATCGAGTACAAACTTGTGATCTACAGTTATAGATACTATTTGTACGGGACCAGCTGAAGGCGATTGCTCCATGGTTAGATAATGGATATTAAATCTGAAAATATACGCAAAATAAAGTATATGACACGTGTAAAAGTGAAAAACTGATAAAGCATAGTATCATATTGTTTTATGCGCTATGCTATATCTTAAAAGCACACGCTGGGTCCGGTGATTTATTCAACCAATAGCGAAAAACTATGATTTAGCTACGCTTCATAGAATAACATTTTCTTAAATGCAATCATTTTTAATGACAAAGTTCAATAGAATTCGAGTTGAATGTATTTTATTTGTTTAAATCGTGTGAAATTAAATGGAAGATCTATTTTTCATTTGATAATTTTTTAGCCAATGAAAATTGACTTAATCATCTCAATAAAGGTTACTACCAAGCAACGAAAAGCCATTGAGAATAAATCCGATTTTTAAACATAAAAGCATTTTATGAATTAAAAATGACTCAAAGCAAAGAGCAACAAAGTAAGAAGTTTATCTCTTTATCTTTTTCTGTTTCTCAATCACAATCGAATTCTTTCCAATGCATTTTACGTGTTCAGTTGATTTTAAAAAGATTACCTAAAACAAATTTAGTTAAAAATACGAATGTCAAAATTTGTTCTTTTTTTAATCTCTTAAGCGAAGAAAACCATTCATGATATCGTTCGAACAAATAATGTTAAAGAACTAGAATTAATAGTGGGCCATGGTGCAAGTGTGAATGAAGTTGATACACGCTGTGACGATAAATTTACACCATTACATTGGGCTGCACATTCCGGAACTCTTGAAGTTAGAAACAGAGAATATTTTTCATAAATATCCTAAAAATTTATTTTCGTTTTAACAGTGTATGCATTGGCTTCTATGGCAATCTGCTGATATGGATGCGCAAACACCCAAAGGATGGACTCCTGCTCATATTGCTTCGATCCGAGGACATGATGCATGTGTACAAGTAAGAGAATTCTAACAAAGAAAAGATGTCTGTTATTGAACTAAATGCATTTTTTTTCTTAGGCTTTGATTAATAACAATGTTAATATAAATGCACGAGATCGTCGTAATCAAACTTGTCTTCATATGGCTTGTGCACATGGAAATTCCTTTGTTGTACATACACTTCTACGTGGGGGCGCAGTAAGCTTTTTTTCCTTCTTTTATATTAGATTTCTCCTCGACACTCTTCATTTACTCTACATATGTTACAGGATCTACATCATCGTGATGTCAATGGATGGACACCAGCTTATACTGCTGCCTATCATGGAAGACTCGGATGTCTACAAATGTTAGTTAAATGGGGTGCGAAGTTAGATGATGTCGATAATGAAGGGAATACAGCTGGTGAGAATTTGTAAAAAAAAGACATTTTACACTTAGAATCTACACCTTGGTTTATATATTTTAGCTCATCTTGCTGCAATGGAAGGTCATTTGCCATGTTTGAAATTTATCGTTTCAATTACTCGCGATACGAGAGCAGTATTAGGAGCTCGTAATGATCAAGGTGATACACCGAAATCGTTAGCTGAACAATTTTTTAAAGAAAATTGTTGTACATATCTCGATGCACTTGAATGGGAAAATGATCATCCTGAACAAGCAGAAAGTATACATCATATATATAATATAATCAAATATCTATTTGGTTTCTGTTTAAAGATCTTGCTTTTCCAGCACATGTAGCAGCATATAATGGTGATTTAGAACATGTGAAATTATTAGTTGAACAAGGTGTCGTGAATATAAACGAACGTGATGAACGTGGAGCAACATTAGCACATAAAGCAGCTGGCCAAGGACATCTAGAAATTTTACGATGGTTAATGGAAATGGGTGCATCAATGGATTTAGCCACGCAAAGTGGCGAAACACCAAAAGATGTAGCAAGACGTTTTAGTCAGTTAGCTTGTTTGAAACTTATAGGTGGAGGATCTGATAAAACAGAAACAGGTGCAAGCCATAATCATCAAAATGATTTGAATAGAAGAAACTTAACAGCAAAAGAAGAAGAATTTCGACGTGCAAAACAAAAATTTGAAGAATTAAAAAAACAATCTGAAATAGCAAAGAAAAATTTTCGTCAATTAGGTGGACAATTCGAAGAAGATAATAAACGAGAAACAGTTGAAAATGAAACACAAAAGTATTCTTTTGACTAATGAGTTGTTTTCAATTTTTGAAATATTTAATTTTAGAAAAATTGAAGAAATTGAAGCACAATTAGAATTCGAAAGATTGAAACGAGAAAAACGTGAATCAGAATTAGATCAATGTCGAAATGAAATTGCTCGTCTAATCAATATCATACGATCATTCGAAGAGAAAAAAATACATGCACGCGTAAGACTTTGAAATTAGCAAAAAAAAAACCACGCTTATTTTTCAAATTCGATTTTTTTAGCAACGACCATCAAGTGAAACTCGTCAACATCGACATAGAAAATCATCGGCAGCTTCGCAAAAGCAATCGCGAAAAGTAGAAAAAGAAACAGGACTTTTGTTTATGGCTAGAAATTCTGTTACTTCTTAACAACATTTTTGTTTGTTGTAATATAGAAAACAATAAAAAGTTGCTCCTGTTGGAGTTGAGTTTTTACGCAAAAGAATTATTTAAATTTTGTGTTTATAATCATTTTTATTTTGATAACTTGCATGGTAGGCTGATTCGTACTAACTTTCGACTCTTGTTTTTCTACGATCGAAGACGACATCTATTGGCACTATCAGCACTGCATCCGAAATGAAGACCATTTTTTTCATATATTCTTGTTCGTTATTGACTCTATCCATTCATGAACTATTTTTATATACTTATCTAAATAAATACGAATATGAAAGAATTTATCAATTGAAATTCTTCTTACTTAGTGCCATGAACTGCAGGTGTTATTTTCTGAAATTATTCAAAATTAGTGTAAAGTGCATTGTACAGAACGGTATTGGAGAATTTATTCATCTTTTTTTTGCATATTATGAATATTCTAGCATTTATGTGAGATTAGTCCATGAAGACACGGTTAATAATAGCAGAATCTACATCAGAATAAAGTGTAAACAAACTTTGAGTTGCGGTAAACATGATCACGCAGAGAGTATTTGAAATACAGTCTCTATTGCAAGTACAAAGTTCAGATCCGTCTACCTTTCCTGTTAGCTCAGCTCATCATAGAAACTATATTTGCTCACTGACAATTTTTACTATTAGGAGAGGAAAGAAAAAAACAAAAAGTGCAATTTTGCAAGTCATGATGATGATATATTTATCTGAGACAGTATAAAGACAAGAAGAAGTACCTTATTCTTCAATTATTTTGAAACAGATTTCAGATTGCTTTCAACCATGACAAGCGTTCCAAAACATCTTAAATCTGGTAAGAATAAAATTATTCTTAATGATCCAATCAATACCTGGTCATTTTGAAATAGGTTCGGTATGCCCACCATTACAAGAAAATCAATTACGATTATATGGCATGCGTTTTTGTCCGTATGTTCAACGAGCTAAACTTGTTTTAGCTGCTAAAAATATTCCGTAAGTTCATTGTATATGCAAATCTATTAGTAGCATTTTTCGAATTATTCTAGATACGAAGAAATAAATGTCAATCTCGTTGAAAAGCCCGAATGGTATTTAGAAAAGAATGCACCTGGTCAAGTTCCATCATTAGAATGGATCGAAAGTGCTTCGAAAGAGACTCGATTTGTTCCTGAATCACTTGTTGTGAGTGATTATCTTGATGAAATCTATCCGGAAGTTCGTTTACATCCAACTGATTCATATCTTAAAGCTCAACAACGTGTTTTAGTTGAACGATTTAACAGTGTAAATATGTTTGAATTTCAAAGATATAAACATGATTCTAAATTTTACTCTAGGTGCTAGGCCCATTTTATAAAGCTCTACGGTCACAGGGCAAAGAAGGTGTTGAAGATTTAAATAAAAATTTTGAAACCTATGAAAACGTACTTAACAATACTTATTTCGGCGGATCACAAGCGGCAATGATTGATTATATGTTATGGCCATGGTTTGAACGTTTACCATTGTTGAATGAAGTTGGTTATCACTTTAATGCTGACGGTCAATTTCCTAAACTTGCCGCATGGATAAAAGCAATGGAAGAAAATGAAAATGTGAAAAAAGTTAAAGTTCCGATGGAATTAACAAAAAAATTCATGCAAGGTTACGCACAAGGCAAACCAGAATACGATCTTGAATAGACTGACACACATTATTTTTGTTTTTATTCAATAAAAATAATTTTCATGCTTTTTTAATAATTTATACTCAGTATTGAACAAGATAAAAGTGAATAAATTTTCAACAAATCTTTTTTTTTTGATTTCAGAAAATTAAATGTTTTTTTGCCCAAAGATTAATATCTCATGTTACGAATCATTCATTTTCGTCCATTTCTATTGAATACATGCATTAGAACACCGCGTCAACTAGCGGGTAAAATCATTTAGATAGATGTTCTCAGAAACATTTTTAAAGGTTTATTTTTCTTATTTTTGTGCAGTACTGTGTCGTCCACTATCTGTAGAAACGTTATCAGCCCATCGTGATATTGATGATTGTAATCATCGCGTTGAAATAGCTGCACCACATCATGAACTTCTTGAGGGTACATCATTGTTTTTTTTTGTCCTGTTTGATTTTAAATTTCTCTGTAATTTTCTTAGTGCTCCATTATCGTTCATCGCAATTACAATTGTTTACTAAAACTATTCGTTCACCCCGAAAAATGTCTCCATCATCGGATCGATCAACCGCTAAGACTAGCACAAGGCCACGATCTAACGCTAACCGAAAAACTTTAATCAAAAGTAATATTGAATCGAAACCAGTTAAAGAAGAAAAAGTAAAAAAATTATTGATTCTAAAATGAGGTGGAACTCTTATGTTGATATTTTTATTTTGAAGCCTATTGACTTGGCTCGACCAAAAGCTAGTAAATCGAAAGAAAAAAAGAAGAAAGAAAAAAAACGTATGCATTCAATTCAATGAGGTTTCTTTATATAGATCTATATAAAATATTATTTATTTTCAGCTACTCCTTCCCCTGTATCAACTCCAACAAATCGCATAAACGAACTAAGTAAAAAACTTAAGCTCACTAAATCTACTGGCAAACATCAATCAAAAACACTCACTAATAATAATAATAATAATAATAATATATCTGATGAAATTCTTGCTGCCGAAAACGAACACGAAGGCCCTCAATCAGAAGAACCGCTGATTCTGCCAGTAATAGACGAAGCGACTGCTAATGATGAAGATAAAACATTAAATGAATTATTAACTAGTCTAAACTCTACTAAAGTTCGACGTTTACATAAATACACTGATCTACAAATAAAATTTATGCATACTCACAACGAGTTCAATCGTATGCTACAAGCTTATGTCGACGTATTGGTATCGCATGGAAAGGTTTGCTTGAATTCAAGGATATTGTTTTCGCTTTATTATGATTTAATTTAGTTAAATCAAGCTCGTCGAGTACTAGATGAAATATTATCGGAACAAGAAAGAAGGCGATCGTCAAAAATACTTGCATGGCGTTATGTAACGAATGTACACGTATTTAATTCATTGTATTTTGGTTATGCAGAGAAGGTTGTTACAATTTTAAAATTATTATCTCTATCGATCGATTTTTATTTTAGGGTAATCTTCCAGCATTACAAAAATTATTTGAAACAATGCGTAAATTTAATATAAAACCAACACTTGAGTCCTATGCAGCAGCTATAAGTTGTCTTGGTAGTATGGAGTTGTTGGATTCAAGTGTAGCTCGAAGAATTATACTTGATCTAGAAAAAGAAGTATTATTAAAAACTAAAACAAAAAAAATTTTGAATCATTTTCACTTTCTAAGGGTTTTCGTGTACTCGATATATTTAATCTGGATTGTCTCAATCATGAACATATACAAAGCATTTTAAAAGTTTTAAAAACTTTTCGACCTGATTTTGATATTCCACTCCGCTCATCCAATGTCAATAGTAAAATTCTCAATAGTATTTATGAAAAATCTGCAATTGTAAGTCTTATTTTTTTTTCTCTGAAGATAGCGTAGTCCTATTATTTACGTAGAGCAAAGATGAATTGATACAAACCGATCAATGGTGGAAAGATACTGATTTGAAAAAGAAATTAGATGAACAAATACAAATGGAAAAAGCTCATCGTGTCAAAATAAAATCCATTAATGCAATAAAACTACCCGACGAAAAATTGGTTCGTTTATTTTTAACAATAGAAAAACTGTTTTTTTTTCATGCTATTGATTTTATAGGCAAAAAGATATGAAAACTTTTTAGTAGATCTTGAACAACAATTAACCGTAGGATTTCTAACTGAATTAGAAATATTAAAACAAAAAGTGCGAAAAACTTCTGATATAAATATAATTCCATTTCTTGAAATATTTGAACCTAAAGAATACATTGATTTAATGCTAAAAGTAAGATTTCCATTTTCTTCGAATGCTTGGTTTTTTTTGCAAGAATTCTTCATCTTATATCATATAGACACTTCATCAACATAGCTATGCATCAGAATTTCATTCATCACCATTTGTGACTCTTTGTGTGACACTTGGCAAACATTTATATCAAAAATATGTATGCAAAATGCGACAGAAAAATGGATTTATCGATAAACTACATCTGATCTATGATGATTATACGAACCATGTAGTTACAAATCAACGATTTATAGTGAATGAAAGACAAAAATGGAATGAAATAACTAAAGAAAAATTTGCTTTTATGGTTAATTTAGACAAAATGAATATTCCAATAAGAATGTTTGTTTTCAATTTATTTAGGATCGTAACGACCGACGGTGGACATTTACACAAGTATTACAAGTAGGAGAATTTCTTTACGATGTTATGTTGAAACATGCAAAAATTCGTGTGCCATTGCTTACTAATCAATATACGGCATCGAACAAGTCGTAAGTAAAATATTAAGATATATTCGAAAAGTAGCAGAGATTTTGCTATTTGTGTATGGTTGACGTCAGTCCAATACAGAAATTGTAAAATTTTATAATCTTTTGTTTTAGAGATAATTCAATCATGCACATTGTCTATCGAAATTTGGGTGCATGCAGTGAAAAACAAGTCAAAGTAACTCTATCGTGTCCAGTCATTATTGCTAGATCAATATTTATTTGTTTAGATCCATCCAACGGTCTTGCATTTCTTTTCACATATTCCTGAAGCGACTCTTGATTTTAGTTGCACTGAATTGCCATGTCTTGTTCCTCCACTTCCATGGTTATCATCAACCATGGGTGGTTATTTACTAACACAAACTGAATTTGTTCGATCACCTTTTGGAGCCACTCAACAAGACACTCGTCTTCGAACTTTACCGACTGAGAAAATCGGTGGTCTGTTTGATTCAATAAATATTTTGAATAGTTGCCCATGGAAAATTAATGGTCAAGTACTTGATCTGCTAATGGATATTTTTCGGCGTGGAGGAGATCGTCGATTATCTGTACCTGTTTCTATCGAAAATGCAAACCTAACTGAACCACTTCCAATTGAAAAAGTATTAGAAAAAAAGCAAAGCTCTATAAAAGAATTTAAATATTTTTACTTTTAAACAAAAAAGGGTTTATCAACCGATGAACTTAAACGACGAGAAATTGCTCTAGCGAAAATGAGAAAACTAAAAGCTGAGATCTTTTCACTATGGTGCTATGAACTTTACCGGCTATCAATAGCTAATCATGTAAGTTAAGATTTCATTTTTATTGATTTAAACAAATATTTCTATTTTTTTAGTTTCGAAACGAAATCTTTTGGTTTCCACATAATCTTGATTTTCGTGGTCGTGTTTATCCAATTCCTCCTCATTTCAATCATTTAGGCAGCGATATTGCACGTAGTATTATTCTATTTGCTGAAGGCAAACCGTTAGGTCCCAATGGTCTTCGACAGCTGAAAATTCACTTAGTCAATCTCACTGATTTGAAGAAAAAAGCGTCGATCAATGATCGAGCTAAATATGCAGACGAAATTATGGATGATATACTCGATTCAGCCGATAGGCCATTAGAGGTATGAAGAAATTTTATTGTTATGAAATTTTATTTTTTAAATTTAAAAACCTGTAGGGTCGTCAATGGTGGAAACAATCCGAAGAACCATGGCAAACACTTGCTTGCTGTATGGAAATAGCTTGTGCAATACGCTCACCAGATCATACGAAATATGTTTCACATTTTCCTGTTCATCAGGTATATTGTCGCTTGATTATTTATATGTTATGATCGTTTTTCTGTTTCAGGATGGTTCATGTAATGTTTTACAACATTATGCAGCAATGGGTCTTGATGATATTGGTGCCGCGTCCGTTAATCTTAAACCAAACGATTTACCACAAGATGTTTATAGTGTTGTTGTTGATCAAGTTGAACAAGAACGTAAACAAGATGCTGCGAATGGTTTACCTATAGCTAAAATTCTTGAAGGTTTTATTAAACGTAAAGTTATTAAACAAACAATAATGACGACAAACTATGGCGTTACATTATTTGGTGCTAGACAACAAATAAGTCGACAATTACGTGACATTGATGAATTTCCGAGAGAACATATATCAGAAGCCAGCAGTTATTTAGCACAAAAAACATTTATTAGTTTAAGAGAATTATTTCGAGAAACAAGAAAAATTCAGGTAGTTTTCTTTCTAATGAAAATTCTTTCGATTGAAGTTGTTTTTTTGCTTAAATAGGATTGGTTTACCGATTGTGCCAGATTGATTTCTCGTGTACGTGAAGCAGCTGTAGAATGGAATACACCATTGAATTTACCCGTTGTTCAGCCATATTATCAAGAAGTTCGAATGCGAGTTCGTTTTAAATTTTGCTTATTTCCTTTTTTCTGAATGTTTTGCTTTTGTTTAGCACAAAGGCAAAGACATTTATGATTACTACAGCAGTTTTGCGTAAGTCCACCTGAAGCGTTTACATTCTATTAGCAAAATGTTTTTGTTCTAGTCGTCCAAATAGTACGAAACAGAAGAATGCATTTCCACCGAACTATGTTCATTCTCTCGATTCAACACATATGATGATGACAGCATTACAATGCGCACGTAACGGTATTACATTTGTATCCGTTCATGATTCATTTTGGACACATGCATGTGATGCTGACCGACTTAGTAAATACTGTCGAGAACAATTCGTTGCATTACATAAAGAACCATTGCTTGAAATACTTTCGCAAGAGTTAGTTTCAAAATATGAATTCAAATCCAGGTATGAATAAACAATATTTTGAAAAAAAGGAGCCGATCAATCCGATCGAGATAGAGAAATTTTGCAAACAATTGGTTTTGTTTTCTTTTCTAGTGAATATGCTCGTGCTGATGAAAAACAAAAGCAAACAATGAAACTTCTCAATGAAACACTTCGACGTGTACCTGAACGGGGTACATTTAAATTAGAAAGTGTACTTGATTCGACTTATTTTTTCAGTTAATAAAAATAAGTTTTCGTTATCAATTATTTTTTGATTGACTTCGAGATGATTGACGTGGTCGACGTTGTTGAGCAGGTGAAGAACTTTTCGTAGTTCCATCATTAGTATCTACTTTAGCCATATGTTTAATTAAATCAATAACTCGATGACTGTAACCATATTCATTATCGTACCAGGATACGAGTTTAACAAAATTATCATTGAGAGAAATACTCGCTTTAACATCAAATATTGATGAATAGGGACTGCCGATAAAATCCGATGAAACAACTTCATCATTAGTATAACTTAAAATATTTTTTAATTCATTTCTATTACAAGCATTTTTAATTGTATTACAAATATCTTCATATTTTGCCTAGTTGAAGAGTGTGTTGAAATAAGACTTGAGAATACGAAATAGATTTTCATACTGATTTTTCAAGACGGCAAGTTAAATCAACCACTGATACATCTGGTGTTGGTACACGAAATGACATACCAGTTAATTTACCATTTAGAGTTGGAATTACTTTTCCGACCTAATCATTTCAAATAAAAAACAAAATCTATTATAAAATTTAAAATATAATTAACAAACAGCTTTAGCAGCACCCGTTGTTGATGGAATAATATTTTGTGCTGCACCTCGACCACCACGCCAATCCTAAAATAATCATTATCATCTTTATTACAGACCAATTTTACTTTATTTGATGGTCCATCGACAGTTTTTTGTGTTGCCGTATAGGAATGTATAGTTGTCATAAGTCCTTCGATAATTCCATATTTTTCATGTATAATTTTAGCTAACGGAGCAAGACAGTTAGTTGTACATGATGCATTCGATACGATTGAATCTTGACCGGTATATTTATCTTCATTGACACCCATGACATACATGGGTGCATCGGCTGATGGAGCAGTTATAATAACTTTTTTCGCACCACTTTGAATATGAGCTTGGCATTTGTCTACAGTAGTAAATACACCTGTTGATTCAACGACATAATCAACACCTAATTGACCCCACGGGATTTTCGAAGGCTCTTTTCTACAAAATAGAAAACCACAAAAATAATAAAAACGAAATTATTAAAAATTTAACTCTGTATAAACAGTAATTGATTTGCCATCAATAATTAATTTATTATCTTTATTTGATAAATCACCTTTGAAGCGTCCATGAGTTGAATCATATTTGAACATGTAAACCATATAATCCACAGAAATGAATGGATCTTAAATTCAATTGAATTGAATGTTAAAATAATATACAAAAAAAAGGAATTACGTACCATTAATGGCAAGAACTTTAACGTCTTTTTGTAATGCACAACGTAGGACAATTCGACCAATACGACCAAATCCATTTATACCAATTTTAATATCAGACATAATTCGAGCGAAATTAATATGCGAACAAAAAATATTTAGATGATGAATAAAACGAGCGCCTTTATTAATATTCGAAAACACCCTATTTTCGCTCGTCATAATCATCTTATTAGAAAGAATTTGTATATTTCCACGTTGATCATCCTCGACCGTAGTTTGTAGTTGTTTACTGTTGTCATTAACGAAAACCTTCCGATGGCTAACGGTCTGTGGGAGGGGGGGGTGTGTGCAAAACTTCTACCCTAAACACTTCTTGAGGGTCGTGCTCACAAAAAATTTAAAAAAAGATTAGTACATTATCTCATATTCTATTTTAGAAATCTTCGTCAATATGAACAACTCATTGCAGATTTAACGATTGAATTATCTGAAGCATCACATACACTTACTTCATCCAAGGTCGAGCAATCCAACAGTGGGAACCAATCGTAACCCATCCGATCCGACTCGCACCCAGTAGGATCTTATCGGATTCTGTCGGATGGTACGATACTATCAAGTTCCTATTTGATTCGATGTGGGATTTCTCGACCTGGGAAGATGCTTTGTCATCGAACATGAACAATATGACAATCTCGACAAATTGCGAATGCGTATGATGCTTACCCAGTTCGTTTTTATCCTTTTTGTAACTGTGAATGATGTGAATAAATCGTTATTTCCATCGCTGAATCAAGCACAACCTTATCCAAATTATACAGCTCATATAAATTATAATGATACTATTAACTCATATTTTCCGACATACAGATTAAGTAGAAGATGAAAAATTGAGGATAATGCAACTAGTACGCTTATCATTTATTCAATGTAGTTTCATCTCAAGAGTAAATCAAAATTCATCGGAATCACATGATATATGTCTTATAAACGCATTTAAAACATATAAAAAAATATAGAGCATCTGACTAAAGAGAACAGAAACAAATAATATACATAAAAGAAGCAAGTAACTAACAGCAAAAAGAAATGAACAATACAAAAGTTGATGGGATAAATCAATCGTAGATTTTGATAGTCTGCCCTTTTCTCATATAATTTTTTGTCCGATAAAAAATAAAAATGTTACACTAGTAAAAAGACAAACTATCAAAATGTATAACTGATTTACCTCACTTGACTCAATACAAAAAAAAATCAATAATCATATGAATTATTCTATTGAACTAATCATTGTGTGTTGTTGAATTATATGATGATGATGATGATGATGATGCTGTTTCAAGATCTCTATTTTGTGTTTCATTGGACTTAATAGAATAGATTAATGACATGAAAAAAGCATATGCTTCAAGTAATATCGATGTATGCTTATAACATAATAAATCAATTGTAACAAATAGTAGTAACGAGATAATCAAAATAAGCCATTTCGGCAAAATATCCAATAAATTCATTATGAAAGTATCAATAACAGATCCAATGAAGTTTAAAATACAATATTTGTATTTGATAACTAAAAAGAAATTAAACAAAGTTAGACGAATTGTCAAAAATAAGAAAAAATTTCAGTTGTTCGATTAGACTGCGTTCAACATAGATCACAACTAACTCAATTAACTAGGGAATGTTCCTTAGTAAGTCAGCGATAACTTGAAGTTACACTATTCGAATCACAATTATTAAGTAAAGAAATAGAGCATGTTGAACAAATATATTGCAGAATAACAAGTTTATGAAGTCAAACAAATAATGAACTTGCAGCTAAAGTAGCTAAATCGATGCTTCACGAGACGAATTTTTTGAAGTTAAATCAAAAACTGAATCAATCAATTCGAAATTCGAAAAACATTCTTGCCAAGAACCTGAATAACAGGAGCAAATAAAATCAATAACAATAATAATAATAATAATAACGGCAACTCGTATAAAACATTTATGATCAAATTCAATATCAACAGCTTGTATTATATTTGTATGTGCTGTTCAACATTCTCACTATCGTCAGTTTTCTACCAGTCTTACTTTTCCCATTAATAGCTTTGCCCACCATATTGGTCGTCACCTGCCTCATGTGTTTCATCAAGCCCACTCTGCCTTGCTCAACAAGATAACACGTGTACATTAGTTACCGATGCTATAAGTATCTTCGGCCTTCGTAACATAAAGCATATTCAAAAAACAAAAGTTATTGATCAATTAAAACGAATCTTCCATTAACAAGCAAATAATCCAAGGGGGTAAGTGCTGGCACCCAGCACCGAAAAGTGCTGGACAGGTGCTGAGGTGCTGAATAGGTGCTGAGGTGTTGAGCAGGTGCTGAGCAGGTGCTGAGGTGCTGAGCAAGTGCTCAGGTGCTGAACCGGTGCTGAGATGCCAATTCATTTTTTTAGGATACCACACCCAACTAAATCACCATATTGTGATTGATGAAGAGCGCTCTCTATAAGATTCATTATTGTACTTCAATACTAGCGAATTCTTTNGGTGCTGAGCAGGTGCTGAGGTGCCAGGGTGCTGGGTGCCAGCACTTACCCCCTTGAAATAATCAAATATAATAGAAAAAAGAGAGAAGGGACATATTTTTATTATTCGAATGTAACCAAGAAAAATTCTTTTAGTTTTTGGTCGATCGACATCACAAGATATCGATGAGCAATTTTATGTATAAATAGAACACTGGTATTATTTGTTCTTAGACTGGCAAATGAAACAAAAATAGCAAAATAATATCGATTAACAAAAAAATCGAAATGAATCTGCAGCGATACAAACAACAAATTTAAGATCACATGATCAATCTTTCTTATCATGTGTACTTATTTTAACCACCAGGTGATGCGCAATATTCAAAATAGTTGGCAATATTAATTGACCTAAATTGAATAGACAGTCCGATATCTGTTGGTTAGAATGTGAAAAAGAAAAAGCATGAATGAATATTTTTTTCATAGATAGAAATAAAACTATCTTTGAAACATGAAAGTTAGTTTCGTTTCGTTTTTAATACTAATTACGGCTCTTAATCGACTTCTATCGGATGGTTTCTTTTTCTTTTTTATAGTTGCGGTATAAGTTAATAGCAGTGTATGTAATAATAACTGAAGAAAAAAATACATTTTGGGATTCATAAACCGATTTTGAAATGATTTGAATATCTTCAACGGTCTTTTTTTGTCGATATCAAAAGGTTTAGAAAAGATCGAATTAATAATTCAACTTCAGGAGATCATATGGACATATAGATATGATACTCATCGAAAGTAAAATCATTAAACAAATTCAAAGAAAAACGTTTTAATCATTTTGATCTTATTTCTTATGTAGCTTACATTATTTCTTTTACAAGTGTTTAAAGCACTAAATTTTGCAACCTTTTTTTCGCATAAAATGATATCTATTTAGTTTATCTGAATTTTCAAATTAAACTTTGTATAAAAGAAACAAATTACGTTCGACAACAGTTTTGCTTAATGCATCAACTTCACAAAACAACATCTCAGTCGGATACAGCGGGAAATGCAGCAGAAGCGTCCGACGGATTCCCTGCAGGAATACTGCTTCCGTGAGATAGCAGGAATGCCCTGGAACCGACCGTTTCAGGGCCGTTTGGTTCGACTTGGGTTAAATTAAATTTCTTACAAAAGCAAAGCAATGTCTTTGAAATAACTTTTCAGGTATTTTTAAAATAAAATTGATTATTGGTTTAAGTCGAACTAAACACTTACCCTTCGATTTTATTTTTTCTTTATGACTAGTTAATGATTCATTTGGTGAATCAATTGATAATTGAACATCTACTTCAGAAGATAATGTAGTATCAATAATAGTATTTGATCTCTTGTGTAACAATGTATCCAACGATTTCTGCCAAACAAAAAAACAACAACATTATTTAATAAATAAAATAATTGTACGACATACGAAGCAGTGTCACATATTCCAAATTTTGAAGATGCACCCTCATTTCTCTCAGCAGATGCTGCATCTTCGACTAGAATATGATATGTACCTATGAAATTCTGGATATGTTGCACTGCTGCATGATTTTATATTTATCGGAAAATACAAAAGTTAATTGATTACTTTATCCGATGAATCCCAGGTCGATCAAAACGGGCCATCGTAAACCGGCGTAACATTACCGTATTCTATAGAACATACGGCCGTATTACTGCCACTGTTATACGGGGAAAATATGGCACGTAAAACGGGCCGTATCTGTATCGTATGCGACCGTTTACTGATCGTTTCTTCGGGCGGGGTATCTTCTTCTTGTATTTTATTGAGATCATTCTGTTTTTCAATTAATTCAGTTTGTTTGTATATCATATGAACAAGTCCTTCTTTGGTTAAATTTTCAATCTAAATAAAAGAATATTTCTATAATATTTTTGTATCTATTTATTGTTTGTTATTACCGTAATTTTATTTTCAGACATTTGATTTTGATTTTGATACAATACAATGAGTTTTATCTAGAACAAAATCAATTTTTTTTCTGATAAATTACATGTTGTAATCAAACGATTTTTATAAAGGAACATTGTTTCCTCATAATCATAAACCAATCGATGTTTCGTTTATCATCTAGCGCGCACGCGCGATATGGGCAAACAGTGAAATCAACCAACCAAACGAATATTATCAATATCCAATATCCATCCATTATATTAAACCATATTATCGATTCTGACATTTTTAAAGATTAATTGTTAATAGATATCGCTAACCATCGATTCTTTAGTATCTACGTATAATACTAGAATTGCTGTCTCTAATTTTTAAAGTTCGAGCAAGGGGGAACAAACTGATTTCTTGATTTCCAGTAATTTCTATGCCTGGAAATCAGTTTGTTCCCCCTTGCTTTCATCTACACAAGAGTATCCAAAGAAAACATCAAGTCAGTCTCGATGGTTTTTTTAAAAGCGATTTGATTTGAACTCTCGTTTATAGGATCTTGGATTGAAAACCGATTACGAAAATGATTCAAAATTTGGTTACGATGTAAATAAAATCGCTGCTTGAGCATTTCTTCAATCTGGTGATGTTAATCAAGGATTCGACGATCTATATCTGTATTTACCATCCATTTTGGAACCAGTTCTCGATTATTTCGAAAACACTTACATATGGGAAGAAGACGACCGAATGGACGTGAAACACCAAGATATTCTATCAATTTATGGAACATGTATCAAAGAACCAGCAACGGCTCAATGTGAACATCCGCCTCTCTGGATCTTTATCCAAAATCTTTAAAAAGAAGAAAATTATATTCGTTGTCAACTTGTTAAAGTTAATGCTGGTCAGTCAGCTCTTCAAACAAAAACATATTTAGATTACAGTAAGCGTCTGAAGAATTTATTAATTTCTCCACATCCAACACTGCTTAGACAAATAGAAGGAGTACCTTTGAATTCGTAATTCAATTAATCTTTTGTATATTCATTTATGTACTTTTCCTTATTCAATAAATTTCAATTTAATTTAATTTTCTCATGCGACCAATTGTTCCTTTCCCGTTACGAGATCAAGCTTCATATGAATATGAGAGTTGCAATTGAGTCATTACCTCATGACTTGAGCTAACAAAGTATCCGTATGTTGCACATTTTCAGATTTGCAATTATTTTATTTATAAAAATATAAGTTTTGTCGATATATAATCTGTACTATTGTTTTTCTTTTGTTTGATCATAACACTGTCATGTTTTCGTGGAGACCATCATAACACTACAACACATATAATCAAATAATAATAACGAAAAGTTCACCACATCAGTGAATGTATATGCTATTCTTTAATCTATGAAAAAGGTGTCATAATCATCTACAGGTGTGTTTGTCATATATGCAGATAAAAGGATTATGAAATGCCCTGGACATAAAGATCTGTGGTTCATAACATTATAACAAAATAATAACCTACAGAATATAGGCACGTATTGATTTCGGATTTTTATTAATTTTTTCTTATCATCCATTTGTTATTAAATTCCCGTATTCAAGTGAATCTGAGGGGAGGCCACAACAATTCAATAAAACATACAGTAATATGATATTAAATAAATAATTGAAATTCTGTTAATTTATTTTTCAGATTATTACTAATAATCAAAATGTTTCTACGATTACTATTCTTCTTTCCATTTTTTTTGTGGGCATCATCGGTGCCAATCTAACCAATCTTAACATTAGATGAATTTTTCAATTATGTTCATATTCCATCGATCAGTCTTTCACCAAATGGCCGAAATTTACTGATTCACACGAGACGGTCATTGTGGGATTCGAATTCCTATGAAAATAATCTGTGGGTTTATGGAACAGAAACTCATGAGAAAGTATTGATCACTGATAAACTATCGGAAAGTTTCAAACCAAAATGGTCACCAAGCGGAAATCAGATTGTTTTATTATTGAATGAAAAATCGAATACGAATATGAAAAACGAAACTAAGCATTTCAGTCGTTCATTCAAAAGTCAACCAAAACCAGAGCAACACATTTATCTATATTGTATCGAATCACAACGATTGATACCTATTCCAATTGGATCAGAAATACCATCTATTATAACATGGGCCAGCAACGATTCATCTTTATATTTTGCTACAACCCAATCAAATCCAAGTAACACTGATGATCATTTAAATGAAGGTGAATGGAAAGATGTTATTCAATATCGACAACGGAAACCAAGTGATGAAAGTACGATTTATTACATTCATATTGATAGAAAAATAACATTAGCATCTACAACGATGAATATTGTCAGAAATGTACCTTTTCCAATTACTGAACTTTTATTCTCATCGTCCGAGCAGAAACTTATCTTCACATCGATCAAAGAATTGTTTGAAAATACGGATAATTTTGAAATATATTCTATCAATCTTCACAACACATCGTCGCTATCAAGATTAACCACAAATAAAGCGTTTGCATTAAATTTACAAATGTCCCATGATGGTAAGCATGTAATATTTCTTATGTCACGCCTCGAATCAAGTAAAAATTCAAGCGTCATTACTCAAAAAAGATTATATTCATTGGATTTAACAAATGGACAGATTCAACGTTTAGCAAAAGACTTTAACGGTAATATTAGGGAATTTGCTATACGACCTGATGATGGTGTCTACATTCTTGGACAAGTAGGAACCAATGTTCAAATTTACACACAACAATCTGCAAAAAGATATACAATTTTGCATCATGGATTAGATGGAACATATGAATCTATTTCATCATCATCATCATCATCATCTCCTCAGAAAAATAGTATGATTGCGTTTGTCTATTCATCGTACGGACAAGCAAAAGAAGTTTATATTGTTGATAGCATTAAGCAACTTAAATTTGCAAAAGTAATAACAAATGAAAATAGACTTTTTTCTGAACGCAATTTGCCTCAAGTAAAAACTTTTAAATGGACAAGCGATGAAGATGATTGCACAATCGAGGGACTTCTACATTATCCACCAGGCAAATTCGAATCAACACATTTACCTCTTCTTATTCTGATTCATGGTGGTCCATATGCAGCAAGTGTCAATCAATTTCATCTTACAGCAGGTGTGTGGGCATCATTAGCAGCTACAGAAGGTTGGTTAGTATTAGAACCGAACTATCGAGGATCGACGGGCTATGGCGATCAATTTCTCGATGAAATTCGTTATGAGCCCTTAACTCGACCAGGAAAAGATATTCTTTCAGGCGTTCATCGTTTGATTCAGGATGGTATTGTTGATCGAAATCGTCTAACTGTTGGTGGTTACAGCTATGGTGCTTTGCTCACCAATTGGTTGATAACACAAACTACTAGTTTCAATGCTGCTCTTTCAGGCGCTGGATCAGTTGATTATGTTTCTACTTGGGGCATTATGGATCTTCCGCTGCTTATCGATTATTTAATGGGTGGATTTCCATGGAATTCATCAGATATTTATACAAAGCAATCTTCTATTTATCAATTAGATAAAGTTCGAACACCAACACTTATTGTTACTGGAGAAGTCGACATTCGAGTTCCTGCTGGTCAAAGTTTTATGTTAGAACGTGCGCTACATTATCTTGGCGTACCAGTTCAATTGTTAATTTTTCCAACTGAAGGGCATTCATTAAGAAATAATCCGTGGCATGGAAAAATCAAAGTTCGAGAAGAACTTAAATGGTTAAAAAAATATGGACATCAAAATAAAATGAGAAATGACACAAAGATTTGAATAGTGCATTGAAATTATATTCGCTTTTTTTTAGAATAAAAATTACCCAGGTCGAGAAATACCACATCGTATACGGTCGCAGTTCTAGAGTTATGTGTAAGACCATATTTTTTTCCCCTGGGCAGTACACCCATACTCCTTTTCCCTAGACTGAAAGGATAGGGTCTGAAAACCGTAATTCACCTGTGTCTGTCTGTAACACTGGCACAAATGACAAATCTCATGACACATTTTACTGGCGGATCCACAGAGAGGGCACGCAAAGGAGTCAGTTCTAATGACGGATCAAGTGAACGGGCAGGCCGAATTCCCATAAGGAACTTCGGTTCGTCCTTGGTTATATTTTAAAACGCTGTGACTCAGTAGCTAGGTGAAAGTCAACCCTCCCCGCTTCTTAAAGATATTTAAGCCCCCTCGCGGGAATTATCAACAGTGTGTCGTATTAGCTAGGTGACTGTGAGCTTTTACCCCCTCTCCTCCCCCATCAGAAACAAAATCGGAGTTCAGGCACTGCTTCGCACCTGTATTTTGTCCCCATTTTCGCTGCATTCTTATTCATAGTTCTAGGAAATTTCTCATTTTCTGCTCACCGGTACTCCACTTTCACTTATTCGCCCCCCGCCTTCCATGTCTCGATTGAATTTATTCAGCCAGCTTTTTGGAAATTTCAGGATCTTTGGAGTAAGCAACCGACGAAGTGGGCTATTCATATATTTGTATTTATGAATTATGTCAGTCTAGGGCCCAGTGAATCGATTTTCGATTCAGGTTACTTGTATTCCAAGGACAAAACAAAATTGTGTTTTTTGAGCCAGTCTGATAGTTCTGGGGTGACGGTGGCTGCGAATGGCTGTGATTGAATCAAGATGGACAAAAACAAATTCTCCAAAATAGAAATTACCTAATAGGAAGCATACTTTATTTACGTTGTTTTTCATAGAGACAAAATGTGTGATCTATCTTGTCATATGAGTGAATTGCGCTGGAATCGAACCATTTGAAGTAACAAATCGAAAAAAATAAAAGCGTGCAGAGAAAAGATTTGACCGCTGTATTCAATAGAGCTCTATTTATTGTATATACATGTAATCCGCTTTATGGTTTCTCTGAGAAGCGTTGATAGAAAATTAGACGATGATTTCTGGAGGAGGTCTAAAGTACGTCTAAATCTCCAACGAAACTGATACTTCGGTCGCAGTCATTGTTTTCTAGGTACAAATTTATTTATCATATCCAAATCTGTACGTCATAATCTAGTACATCTAAATTTTATACGTCCTAATCTGTACGTATTAATCTGTACATTCTAATCTAGCACGTCTAAACCAGCATCGATACATTTTTATGTACATCCATGAGTATCCCCTCCCCTGATCCTCACTTGGAATGCTATATGCATTATCAGAGATTCACATGAATTGTCAAATTCGAATTAAGTCCCAGGTAAACTCAGGAAAAAAAAGAAACGATAGCGAATAATTATAAGTAATGCGGGATCATGCAGAGGAAAACAATGGATAACCAGACAACCCTTTATTTTAATGCCGCGGCGAGCGCTCCCACACAGAGCCGCGACCAACGCTTGCCTCTGTGTACACAGCGGCATCTATCTTTAGTCATCATGGAGTTCAACATGTGAATTTCGAATGCAGCTGCTTCACAGGTGCTGCCAGCATCCTTCATGATGTTGCTAGTGGTCCCGGCAATGTTGCTAGAAGTCTAAGTGATCTTGCTAGCATCCCAGGTGATATTGCTAAAATTCGATGGGATCCTCAGATAGGGTAACCTAGAAGGGGCGTGAGGATTTATCTGTATTATTTTGATGCAAGTATTATGACGTATTAAATTAGGACGTATAGATTAAGACGTAAGGATTAAGACGTAAAGATTTAGATGTAGAGATTTGGATGTACAGGTTAGTAGATACAGGCATGGTTCCCGATTACTTTTGGAAGTGAGGGGGGCTAAATTGTGGCAAAAATTATATTTTTTTTGGTAGGCAGTATACGTCAAAAACCAAATCCTTGATTTATAATATCATCATCTAACTTAGATCATCTAAGTTCATTTTAATTAAAAATAAGTAAAAACAACATATGTATAAAAAGTAATATTTAAAAAAGCTTTTCAAAACTCATCATCTTTCTGTTTCAATTGATCAGATTCAAAAAATAATGTTACATTTCGTGATTTTGCACGTCCTGGACTTTTTATGAAATCTTGAATAATGAAGTCAATTCCATCATCAGTGAGCTGTATATTAAGGCTAGACAATTTCAATAAGATTTCGATGGTAGTATCATTGAGTCGGTTTCTCAACCAGGATTTTATTCTTCGTAATATGCTAAACATTCGTTCGGCTTCATTTGAACCAACTGCAAATGTCGCTAGTATTTGGTATAATCGAAACCATTCTGGACATTGTTCACTACCAAGTTTTGCCAGCCTCAATAGGATTGATGGAATTGAACTGATGTTTTGAACAATTTTTAAGAAAGCGTAAACATCATTTTTTAAAAATTTAATATTGAGTAAAGGCTGATCCGTGCGTTCGTATACTTTCTCATCCACACTCTTGTGTATGTATGTGATTGGCGATGTATATTTCTGTATTAAAGAATTACTAATTAACTCTTCAGGTGAAAGGTTTGATGGAGAAGAAAATGTGCATAAATCTTGAATCATTTGTTTTGCTTCACCATTGAAACGATCATCTAGTGATTCTAAAACGTTTTGAACAAACTCGTCACCCGTCGTTTTTAATTCGCATTCATCAAAATCAATGTTAGCAGATTGTTGTTGGCCCCTTGTTGAATGTGATGTTAGTTTGGTCAACAGGGCATATTGTTTAATGTTACTTAACGTTGCTTTATACGTAACAAAGTCAAAAGCATTCATAGCTTGCGAAATTGTTGCTCGTGCTGCATCAAAATTCACTGCAAATTCATCCAAACATAAACCACGTTTTCCAATTTGTCTCAAAAACTCCATAGCTGAACGAAGAACATCTCTCAATAGATGTATTTGAAATACAATTAGTGGCTTCATTAAATCCATCACATAACGACGCCCATCAGATGAGCCAACACTTTTAGATTGAGATATTGTTGTAAAAGTCATGATTATTGCTGAATAGTGCTGACAAGCAAAACGCACAATTTCAAATGAATAGGACCACCTTGTCTCGCTCGGGTTTGGTATACTATGTCCTGTTAAATTAAATAATTAATATGAATTAATATTTTCACAGAAACTTACCTCTTTTACTTGAACCAGTAGCCTTTTGACTGTTGAAGAGTGTTTCTATTCTATATAGACTATCGTTCAAATAGATCAACGCTGATTTTATGGTATCAAATGCATCATAAAATGAATATTCAATGGCATCTTTTACACCAAGATTGAGCAAATGTAACCGACAATAAATATAAAAATCCAACGCCGATAACCGACTTCTAATATGACCTTGAGCTTGAAATCCCATGCACGCTGCTCCATCATAGGTTTGAGCAGTGATAATAAGTTCATTTCACGTCTGTTTCTGTAAATTATTAACAAACTCTTCCACCACGTAGAAAATACCTACTCAAAATTAAAAAATATTTCAAAATTTTATTATTAAGTTAAATCAGACTACCTTTACCCCTTGCATCACGAATAGGACCTAATTTAAATATTTCTTCCTTGATCACTCCAGTATTTTTCTCTACATATCTTAAACAAATGCAAATCATTTTTTTAACTGTTATATCTGTAGTTTCATCAATTATTAGATTAATAAATTCTGTTCGTTTAAGTGAAGATATTTGTTGATGATTAGTATAATTGTTGATACTTATAAGTCATTCAGATGTCGCCTCATGACTCCAGTATCTA